TTTTGCTGAGGAACTTTGAAGTTCAGTTTTTACAATATACCATCTATTTCTCTTTGGTACATTTTGATGTTTTATATTTTTACAGCTTTTGACTGAACCCCGGTATAAAAGGCTGTGGTATCTTGGCAGAGGTCCGGAGACAGGGCCTCTTTGTTGGATAAAGAACCTCTGAACTCAAAAGCAGCATGATGGATAGTTTCACTGTATCTGGGCAATAGAGCTAAGGCCCACCCACAGGACGGGGCTTCTCAGGAGCATCTGTGGGTCATATAAACCTTCCCCTCAGTGGGAGAGCTCATGGTTTGCACTTGAGGACTGAGGCACAGCTTTATAAAACACACAAACACAGAAAGTCAACAGCTATGGTGTCCCTGGGGCTGCAAATTCTGGGTGTGGGGCTGGCGGTGCTGGGATGGATAGGCAACATCCTGATCTGTATGCTGCCTCTGTGGAAAGTGTCTGCTTTCATTGGAAACAACATTGTTGTTGCTCAAACCATCTGGGAAGGATTATGGATGACTTGTGTGGTGCAGAGCACAGGTCAGATGCAGTGCAAAGTCTACGACTCTCTTCTGGCCCTGCCTCCGGACCTTCAAGCCGCCCGGGCCATGGTGGTCATTGCCATCCTCTTCTCGTTCTTTGGCGTGATGCTTTCAATGGTCGGAGGTAAATGCACCATTTGCATTGAGGACAAAGCAGCGAAGGCCAGAGTGGCCATTTCTGCAGGTGTCTTCTTCATCCTGAGTGGAGCTTTGTGTCTGGTGACCGTGTCTCTGCCTGCCAACACCATCATTAAGGACTTCTACAACCCCCTGGTCCATGATAACCAGAGGAGGGAGTTGGGTGCCTGTTTGTATGTGGGCTGGGGTGCATCAGGACTGTTGCTGATAGGTGGTGCTCTTCTCTGCTGTCAGTGTCCGCCCAGAGGAGACCGCTACAACGGACCAATGTATTCTCCACCTAAATCCACAACACCCGGGAAAGAATTTGTCTGAAGTGAACTCTCTCTGTCTCATTCTACATGGGCAACAGTCATAAACATGTAAATTGTGTTTGTGATTAACAACGTTTAACTAACACACTTCTGGGGTTTTTTCTGTTTTTGAAATATACAAGAGACCTTAAGGTACGTGTGGTGTAAATGGGGAAACAACAGAGTTCACTCAGTCTCCTTTGTTTTGTTTTTTCAGTATTAATTCACACTTTCATAAACTGCTGTATCTTAGCATCATAAATGAATGTGTTCAATATATAAGTAAATTCTTGTCATCACTTTTGCTTTTTACGTAATAAACAGTATTTTCAATATTGAATTATGAATTGAATTATTCATTTGATGTTTGAATTATCATTCAATACTTGATTCATCTACAGATGAATATAACAAGAGGCAAACAACGATGCATGTTAGTGTAACTATACACTGTGTAACAAAACTTTATCAGTATTGATAATTAGATCAAACTTCAGACTTTTGAACAGGTTTAAAAAAAATATTTGTATGGACATCAAAATAAAATGCAAATCCAGACATCACTTTGCCCTTTTTTTGGTGTAAATATTTACCTGTATTTTCTTTAACAACAATTGAACCAGGCGACAAAAAGTTAGCCGAGGGATATTAAAACAACTAAATTTACCTTTGACAGATGTTGACTCCTGTTCCATTTTGATGACTCATTCCTGTGTTGTAGAGCCTGCACCCAGCCAAAGAGAGAGCTAAAGACAAAAATGCAAATGAGGCACCACGAGGGAATCATTACTGTTTTCCTGACAGAGTTATTTCAACTGAAAAATGTCTGTAAACAAAACGATACCCATCTAGGAGGTTTTAGATATTTTATCCTGACAGGACTTGGCAGATGTGATCTAACTGGCCGGAGTGTAAATATCCATTCTTTGTAATTGTAAGACAGTTCCTTAGCAACTCGGTGTCTTAGCATGAAGACTGCCCTGTTGTTTCTAGTACTGATGTCCATTTGATTTATGGCACAAACTGTAAATTACTGGCTTAATAGCATGGCAGTGGATTACAACATACAACAGACGGCTGAACCACATGCGTTAAATTCTCACTGGTCTACTCCCCTGAATTCCTGAAAGCCTTCTCACGGATGCTAAGTGAGATCTGGAGTCTAGTGAGTCAGACATTCTGCCTCTGTTTGTGTGCAGGTGCACAGTGAATGTGAGATAACAATGGGAAGAATGGAAACAAAGATGCTTTTATTCAGCATTAAGACACTTTGAGCCATGATCATTATATCACAAAGAGACTAAAAGAATATTTCACAGGTTCTGTGTCAAACTGTACTTTTTTTTCAACTCTTTTTTTCATAGCAACCTGTGCAGCAGCTGGTGTATACACGAAACAAATATGTCTGTTTACGCTATATGAGATACAGAACATAAATGTATACATTACAGATTCATTGCTTTCATTTTTTCATTTGCAAAAAAACATTACTCCTCATGGTAGGCTCTACTTTCTTTGGGGACTAAAAATGCAGACTTCAGTCATATTTAAGTAAAAAAAATATTTACAGTGATATAACAATATTGAAATGCTAAAAATGATAACCACTGACTTCTTCTTTTGTTTTATAACTTCCTTCACATTCATTAAAACCATTTTGATGACTCTACATTCTTAAACATTTGACGAGTCATTTGTTCCAACATTAGGGAAAACTAAAGAACCTGACGTTTCGTCTCACACATAGTCCATGTTGGAGGACACAGTTCTTGCAGGCACAAACTTGGCAGGTACATAGGGTCTCTCATCCCTGGGTGGGCAGTTATTGCACAGTAGACCCCCTCCAAGAAGCAGCAGCCCAGCAGCGCCCCAGCCGATGTACAGTGCAGCCCCCAGCTCTCTCCTCTGAGCTGCGATCACCAAGGGGTTATAGAAATCCCTGATCACCGCATGAGCCGACCAGGACACAGGAATCAAGATCAGAAAGGCCGTTATTATGAAGATCACACCGGACATGATGCAGGCTTTGGCTTTGGCCACTTCATCTTCCATGCAGTTTGTGCACTTTCCTCCGACCACAGACATGAGGATGCCGAACACACCGACGATCACGGAGATGACGGCCATGGCCCTGGCTGCCTGCAGGTCCTGTGCCAAAGCCAGCATGGAGTCATACACCTTACACTGCATCTGACCTGTGCTCTGGACAACACAGCTCATCCACAAACCTTCCCAGATCACTTGGGCTGTGACGATGTTGGCCCCGACAAAAGCGGTGACCCTCCACATGGGCAGAGCGCAGGTGAGGATGGTGCCCAGCCAGCCGATGAAGGCCAGCAACACACCCAACACCTGGAGGCCTTGGGATGCCATGGTTCTGGTCACAGATCCACAATTAAACAGTTACACAAAAAAAAAAATCTAAAAGTTGATCAAAGTTTAAATTCACACTGTAATTACTGCGAATTCTCTTAAAACGCCACTCTCTGTGAAACAGCTCTGCACTGATTCTCCCCGGTCCAACTGTGAGAAAATAACTGCCGGCTCCTGTGGTTCGGACTTAAAGGGTGGAGATTCTGAGCTCCCAGACAAAGGGGAAACACTGATACCTGATATCCACAATCTCTATTTTCTCTGTGGTCATTGTTCTCACACATATAAGCTTTGTTACCTCAAGCAAGACTCCGAAACTGGGAACAATGGCCTCCGCTCCCACCTGTGATCAAACACAAACACCTACTCTTGAGGTGTTACGCAAACACCAAGTAAAACTCTTTACTCTTTAGGTAAATGAACTTACCCTGAACTCTTTTAGTTTGGGGTTTCACTTTTCTAAAGTAATGTATATTTAATTGCATTTTAAACAACAATTATTTCCATATATTGACCATCTGTACATTTTTTCTAGGATTTGCTTTTGCTGAAACTTCATTGACTGGAACGTGAGGAAATAAGTCCAACCAAAGTGCGAATGTCTTTGCCTGTTGGCTCAGATTGTGAACAAAGAGCAGCCATGTTTTCTCTTTTGTCTGCCACACCTAGACCTGATCAGCAAGAAAGTCAGACACTGATGTAGGGAGTCGTGTTTTAAAGGAAGTATCCACTTAACGTTTATACCTTCAGACAAATGAATGAGCTTTTTTTCACATTTATTTGAATTTTATTTTAAATTTTAAATAGATGGTTAATTAAATGATCGGCGTGAAAAAAACAATCACAAAGAATCTGAATCTTTGTAAACAAACATTTATTTACAGCTTAGCCGTCATATTGTAAATGTTCATACAAACTGTTCATTGAAAACAACCTATTCATGTGGCAAAAAATAAACCAGAGGTTACACAAAGGTATTACATGAAATCAAAATAATATTAACAGGCAGAGATACACAGTAAAAATTGTTACAAAATGTCCTCCATGGGCGTGGTTCCTCTCTTCATACACCCGTGAGAAGAAACTGTCGCAGCACCAGTGCTAGTAAAAATGTCCCGGTAAAGAACACTCATTCTCTGACTTCTTTGACTCAGACATAGTCTTTCCCTGATGCTGGTACTGAAGCTTCAGATCTGGCTGCTGTGTATCTGGCCGGGTATGACCTTTCATCTTTTTTAGGGCAATTACAGCAGAGCATCCCCCCTCCGATCAGCATCAGCGCAGCTGCACCCCATCCGATGTAGAGAGCAGCGCCCAGTTCTCTCTTCTGGGCGTTCACCATAAGCGGGTTGTAGAAATCTCGGATGATGGTGTGGGCCGTCCAGCAGACGGGGATGAGGCAGAGCACCCCAGAAATAATAAACATCACACCAGCGGCGATGCCCACCTTGGCCTTGGATGAAGGATCCTCCACACAGTTGGTGCACTGTCCGCCGGCTACAGCCAGCAGAATAGCCAGGATTCCCGCCACGATGGAGATGATGGTCAAGGCTCTGGCAGCCTGGAGGTCAGAGCTCAGAGCCAACATGGAGTCATAGACCTTACACTGCATCTGACCTGTGCTCTGCACAACACAGTTCATCCATATACCTTCCCAGGAGGTTTGCGAGGTGACGATGTTGCTGCCGATAAAAGCTGTGACCTTCCACATGGGAATGGCACACACGACGATGGCACCAATCCAGCCAATGATCCCCAGGGCTGTGCCCAGTATTTGAAACCCGGCAGAAACCATTCTGTGCAGCGGTCTTGTTCTTCGAGCTGAAACGTCTGTCTCTGACTCAGTCCTGACTCCTGACTTTAAAGGTCTTTCTGTGAGCTCTCGTTCCTCCCTGTCTGTAACGTAGAGCTGACACTTGTTGGCTTTTTCTGTGAGGAAGTGTGGTTCAGGTGTGTTTTCTTAAATGGGAGAGGGCTGAGAGGAGAGTAGGTACATAAGATAGGGGAGGAGGAGTCCTGGAGGAGAGGAGTTTACAGTCACCAGTCCTTGTTCTTCAGGTTCAGCCCCCCCCCCCCCCCCCCCCCTGAGCTCCTCCCCCCCCCCCCTCCTCCCTCTAACATGACCTGTTTACCCGGCCACTGTTAATAACACTGTTATTATGCACACTGCTTTGCATGCAGCTGGACATGTGCCGTTAAACAGATATATATATATAATTCAAAATCATAAAGAGACATTGATGGTATGAGATTTTTTATCATATGACTTCTTGACCTCACACCCCACCATTTCAATTCAGATGTTGAATGGGAGGGGTCATGTCTTGGCTAACAGGTTTTACATAATACTTCTCATGAAAAACGTCTGCATGACCATATTTGGTCATATGTCTCATTGACTTCCTTAACGCTGTCACCTACAACTACCATGGTTTCATTAAAGTTCCATACTGTTGTAAGTTTCACTAAGCTTATTTTCAGTGGTCGATTATCTGATAACAATCACTGAATGACTTAAACTCCACGGCTTATCAGTCCTGCCATCTGAGTTTGGTTTTGGCAACAGGGGCCCTGAGGATTGGTGAACAATCAACTCTTCAGTTAAATGTCAATCGGGTAAACATTGCCTTTTAACTCTTTTAATATTTAACCTTGCCAACAAACATTGGGATAATTCCAATGTGCTTGCTCCAACAGAAAATAACATCACAAAAACAGAACAAGAAAAGAGCAAAACAGTAGATCAAGTTCAAAAAGTGTTTTGTGATTTCACCACAAGAATGTTGAGAAGTGACAGAAAAAAAAAACAGTTTAAAGTGATAAAGATTTAGCAAAGAATCTCAGGGTGGGAACCATAGCTGAAAACAGTCAAGTCAGTGGTCTAAATCCTGAATATAATATACTGTAAATTCAGCACGCTGAAAAATGTATTCATGATGAATTTATTATACCGAAAAAAGCTATCCAATTTGATAAAAAGACATTTTTTGGAGGTTAGGAAGACAGAGCTACAGTTGAACAATTATAGGATATAAATAACAAATGAATGCTGTTGCTGTTTGTTTACATTATGTTTACATGTTTTGATTTTGCTGATTTTGTTGTCACTTTATTATTATTATTATTATTTGTTGTTGTGTTAATAAAAAAACAACAACAACAACAATAATAATATAATATAATAATACATACATTTTATTATTATATAATAGTGAAAAAGAGGCTTTAGTCTGATATTAGGTAAATAATCACAAATATTTGTTATGAAATAGATGTTTGTGACGTGTGTAATAGTTTCACCTGGGCAGGGATGCTGGGTGTGGCTCTGACAAAACTTGTGACGTTACAAATCTTGAGGTTGACTCAGCAGTGAGAGACAGATACAGTATGTAGAGTCTACTACATTGACCATAGGCCACACGGTGGATAGGTGGTTGTTGCTTTAGCTTTACGGCAAAAGGATAACCGTGTGGACTTTTCCCACCACTGCGCAAAAACCAACAGCATTATGACCATAGTTATAAATGTTGGTGTTGTCTTTATATATGGCCCTGTGATGGACAGGCAGACGTTCAGTCCCAGCTCCTCATGTGACCCGTGACAATAGAAAGTAGTAAAAGTTAAGTGAATGATATAAAATATAAATGCTCACCAGTAATGTTCTCTACTATGATGTACTGTACACTCAGGTAAAACCCACCCTCACACGTAGACACACCTGCAATGAAGTGTTTTTAAGAGAAGACAAACAAGCAGGTGAACCAGGTGAGTCACGTAACACGGGGTCAAATTAGTTCCATGACAACAACATACTGTACAATGGAACGTAACTAGGCAGAGTGAATATAAGTGACTTTTTAAAAATTGTTTAGTTTATATATATTTTTCAGATATTCAAAAGTACAACATAATGTCTTAATAAAAGGCTATGGAAGTTTGAAATCGTAGAGCAGTCCTCTTGTGGTCATACTGTTTGCGTGCTCTGAGAATGAACGGCCGATTGTGTGAAGACACAGGAGGGTGCGTTGTTCACAGGAGATCACAGGAAAAAGCCCAGCACTAAAATCTTTATGTGAAGATGATGTCAGCTAAATGAAGAATTGTCAACAAACAGGGGTCAAAGTTTGAGCAGGGCACACATTTGAAGCCGTTGGTTCTCAGCGACTACAGTGACATCAGAGAAAAACATTCTCTGCTCAAAGGGAAGCCCACGATTCTGTGTGCTGTAATACGTCATAAATCTCCCCACAAGAGTTTCTGACACATTCATGATTGAATCCCAGCCAGAGACTGCATCATGAACTGAAGTCCAATTCAAAACAGAACCTCTCTGTGTAGTTTCTTCTTAAATACTGGGTTTCTGGCTGCATCATCGACAACAACTCTTCAAAGGGGAAATATTTTAACTGCCACATCTAAGGGCCTACTTACTTACTTATTAAGTAACTACAGACCACCACTAGGGTAAATGATGACTTCATGAAAGAGTAAATCAACATCCTCATTTGAACAAGACCAGAGTTGGAGAGAAATTATGAAAAAAATGCAGAAGAAATGAACAAATTCAGATTTTTTTCCGCGTGCGACTAATTATAAAACTGACCCAGATTTACACAGACCAGTATAAAGTACGTCAGTAGTGTAACAGCTGATAGTCCTGACCCATCTTTTACACACAGGTCAAAGATTGCTATCTGTGATATGCAGACAGTGACACGCATCATGTTGCTGACCTAAATGACTTAGGCAGAGTTTTTTTTAATAAATTATTAACAGTATTAAGTGATACTAAACATTGTTATGTGTAGTGTATTAAGTACTTTCTACTACTTTCATTGATTGAACACTGAAAAAAACATGTTTTATTTTTGGTAAATATTCAGTGGTTTTGGTTGGAATGAAAGAACTGAATGTTTTCATGTGCAGTATGTCCAGCTAGATGTTTGGACGCTAAGCTAAGTGATATTTACTGTTAGACTTTAGCTTTTATACCAGGGAACACAAGTGATATTTATATGTACATTCTCAAACACAGGATTCTTCTATTGACCAGTTTAACCTCTCTACTTTACTTGTCATTTTACAGTCACGTAGCATGACCCGACCAGTTTAACCTCTCTACTTTGCGTCATTTTACAGTCACGTAGCATGACCCCCATTCCTGCCAACAGGTTACAGGAAGACTTCCTTGAAAAAAAAAGATTTGCTTAGTACACACACACACACACACACACAAACCATGCAACTAAGCTGTATTTTTCTGGATAGGTGTGGTGGGGCAGAATACCAGAAAGAATTTCACTCAGGTTGAAGACAGTAGCCTTTCATCATGTGTCCTACATTTACCCCAGCGACCCAGTGTCATCACATTACGTCTGTTGAAGAGCATTTGATCAAAAGTTACCTTCTGTATATAGGTTACTGTAATCAGTGAGTTGGCAATCGTTGCACACTCAGTGACAGATGTTATCTGAGTTTCCTCTTTTGGATAAACTGATAGATAAAGCTGCCATTTCTCCTCTGTGTCATGTCGTCCTCACCCCTGGCTACATTTAATGTAGGGCATGATATGGACAGGAGGAGGAGGACGTCACACTCCCTCTGAGTAAACAATGGGAAAATGGCTACTGAAACTAATTTGCCAACTTGTGACATACAAGGAGTGGGAGAGCAAACAAACCCACTGATCATAGTCTTTAATCATGTGGAATAATGAGACGTGTTATCAGTGAACACTGCTTCTATACAAAGTTGTTCAAAGACTTCCTAGAAGGTAACAGAAGCGGTTTAATGTTTCCCTAAAACACAAAGAACTTTCATGGGCAAAACCTCAATATCACATTGTATTGCTAAAAGATTTCATATCTTGGCCCAATGAGATATGATTTATGTTGACCTGTATATTGCTCTTTTCCTTCCTAGAAGGTAATCGCATTTCTTTTCTTAATCAAGCCTTGTCTTATCACGACTTGTCAGGTTTTAGAAGATGTGGTGAAATGTGCTATAACCACCTCGTCGCACAGATGAGAACCTGTGAGAGAAACCCAGTTTGAACTCATTCTCAGAGCACAGTATTAGGTGAACTCTCTGATAGTTACAGTAGATTTAGGTTACTTTTTTTTCGGTTATTGTTTGTGTTTATGTAGGGTTGTGGGTCCGATCCCATTTTTACTGGATGCCTTTTCTGGGAAGATTAGTTTCTACGTGTTGTGGGTTTTTCTAGGTACTTTTTTGCGGACAGTCCATGTTTATAGCTCAATCTGAGAATCTGA